TTCGCTTCCCTGCAAAAGTTGATTGTCCGATCACAACTGTATGGGAACTCCTGCACGATTCATCGATCTGTATGTCTGCCGCGGTCATTTCCCTCCTGGAAGAACTGTGATCTCTTCCGTGAGCTTATAACCTTCTTTCCTTCCTAGATCGATGTTTGATACCAATTGATACGATCCCTGACAAATTTCCACCCAAAAATTAGGGTAAATAATAATTTTATTTTTGGAACACGAAACAACTCAACACGAATACATAAAAAATAAGCACAACAATTCGAGAGACAGTCCTCCTCTCCCAAATCCTATTATTCGAAAGGTATGAAGTCTCATGCAAACCCCAACCTTGAGACTCACAACTACAATCTCATGCAAACCCCTAACCCTTAACATATTAGCCCAATTTATGCTAAATAACAAAAGACTATATTGCCCTTAGGCTAATAAAAAACAAAATTGCTCTTAGGCTAGGTCGGTGTAACATATTGCACGACTCCAATCTCCACAAATACAATCTCTTGAATCTCATACTTTAAAACTCTAAAATTACACTTTTGTAAATCTCCTTTTATTATATTGAGTATTAAAACTAATATTGCTATTTTCAGTGCACTATAAACATCTTTTGCATGTCCTGCTATAGTTTTAAATGCACCTATTAACTCTACAATGGTATTTGAAATTTGCAAAAATATTCAAGCTAACTTATTTACTGGGAAATGTATTCTTTTGCAAATTCGATTTTTCCTTCTATTTATGCATCCAACAATGCTTGAAACTCTTTAGAGAAGAGTTCTTTTTAGAGGGGGAGTTGATGCTCCATAAGAAGATCACATCAATGAATGTTGATAAAGAATAGGAGGTATTACTATGTTGTCTATGTCTAAATAAACGATCGCTGTTCTTACATGAAAATGTAATCATAAATATGCACATATGATCCTAGTGTTATCCTTTTTTTTAAATAAACGTGGACAAAAGAGATTTCTGTGTTCATATTATTACCATTTTGGCATGTAATTTACATGCAATTTACTACGCATGATGACATGGTTAGTCATGTCTTCAGCATTTATTATTTTTTTATTACAATTGGAGGTTGCAATATATTAATTACATTAGAGCTTCTCCATTTATAAATCCCCAAATTCAAGGATAGAGGGGAGAGAACAACCACTAGTTAAAGAGGAGCGAGGAGAGAGTTGATAGGAGAGATAGGAGAGAGTGAAGATCCGAATGCAAAATGTGGGAACTTTAGTAATCAAGTGTATTTTATTAAATTATGATTATTTATTTAATTTTGTCTTTTATTATTTTTGCAGCTCTTAAATTTTTTCATGATGTAAATTCTATATATAACTATTGTATTCTATGCTGTAAACTATTACATTTTCAACTACAATTGTGATTACTTTATTTTCTTCCAAACATAACTTGAAGTTAATTTTGTTATCTAATCTTTTGCTGAGAGGTTGAGAGTGATGTCCATCCTTCGGTAAGGGTCTGTTAATCATCAAATTGATTTCTAGTTAATGTTCTTGTGGGGTTTGTGCTATTCTTTCAACACTTCAAGGCAACAACATCACTTCATCATACATGTTAAGTGATTTTATATGAAATATGTTTCATTTTTTGGTTGGGCTAATCCAGAGTATTTTGAGTTCAAACCAAGTTCACCTCACTCAAACTTGTCTCAAAGCCACTCCTATGCGTATGTGATCTCCAATTGTTCATTGGTTATGCTTTTTTTGTACAATTTACTAGTCTGAAACATAACCTGAAACATGATTTTATCTTTCAAATTCAAATTATTTTGTCATTTGACTGGGCTTTATTTTTCTACACACGGCGTTGCTTCAAAAAACACTTCAGATAAATTTTGCTGAAGAGATTACTTCTAATTTGTATTAGAAAAAGTTTGAATTAAATGATTCATAAAATTGCTTTGATGTCTTCTTGTAATAAAATCTTGTGATATGCTAAGCACAAAACCCAGGACAACTGGCTTCAAATAACACTTCCTATCATATATATTTATTTTTCCAGCTAGCTGGCCCATTTAACTTCCTACTTCCAATCATATGTTGCATCACCCGTAAGCTTGCTGAAATGACTAACATGGAGCGTTAGTTCCGCTGTGACAGCAGTGCCTCGGGAGCCACAGAACACTCGATCGAGGAGGATCCTGATGACTGCCATCCGAATTTCTGTTTCAGCTCATATTTTCTCCCTTTTGTATTTCTTTCCTATTTTTCTTATTTCTAAGTAGAGTTTTTTTTTAAAAAATTTTCCCGGAGACTATTATATATAAGATTGTGAAAATCGGACTGGACATCAAACCGGAATAATGTAAGGGTTAAAGTTCATTGGTTAGACCGAGGTTGAATCGGGGGTTGAACTGGATGATGTAATAAACATTAAAATTAATTAAATATAATATAAATAATATGATAAATAAATATAAAATTTAATTGCATATAACATAAATAATATGATAATAATATAATAATAAAAATGTAAATAATAAATAAATAAATAAATACAATCATTATGTCCTAAGTTTCAAAATCAGTGAGTACATCTATAATAGAGCCATCAAACTCTCTTCCATAAAAATTATAAAATCAAATGGTCCTATTCCCAAAAAAAAAAAAAAAAAACTTGTCAATAAGCTTATGTCACCGCAAGTCATCCCACACCTCTCTCTTTGTCTCCCCCCGTAACCTCTCTCTCTCTCTCTTTATATATATATATGTGTGTGTGTGTCTGTGTGTTTAAGGGGCCGTTTGGTTGGCAGGATTTGTGGTGTACAGTAATTTATTTACAGGAATTTGAGGAAAATATGTGTTTGGTATGAAAAAGTATAAGTGCAATGTAAAGTTTCAGTGAATTTAAAGTTCACTTCTTAGTTCATTTTGGCTGAATTTAGAATTCAACTAATTTGACTGAATTCAAATTATACAGTAAAATGCTATCTACAATCCATCGCCTGTCGCCACCCACACCGTCCATTGCAGGCCTCCCGCCTCCCGCCGCCACCCCCTCCGGCCTCCCGCCTCCCGTCTCCCGCCGCCTACGCTCGCCTCCCCCATTTCAATCTACTTCAAACCAAACAAAAAAAAATATATAAAATTCTGCGTTTATTTTACAATGAACCAAACAACCATAAAATATTTCAAATACATTGTTATAATAGTGCTCTGTAAACCTTTTACATTGTACTTTATTTTTAGCAAACCAAACAACCCCTAATTAATAGTTGCATTTTGCCTTTTTTTAGTTGGGAAAATAACCATAAATTAATGGTTGCCTTTTGTCCTTTTGAGTTGGGAACATAACCTGTGCGTGACCAATGAAGAATGGTAGAAAAAAAATAAAGTAATATTCATATTTTTTAAAAGTGGAAACCAGTTCTCCGGTTTGCTGGTTGAACCGATGGCTCGATGATAAAAACGGCCAAGGACTTGACCAACCACCAGTTCATGGTCGAACTGGCCGGTACAATTCGGTTTTCTAAACCTTGATTATATGTTGTTTTATTTTTGTTTGGATGACTTCTGGCTATTGTTATGTTATTTGGAGATGCTTTCTCCTGATTATTTTAATTGAAGTGTTGTATTTTTAGATTTCTTTCAAGTAGCGTCTCTAACTTGATAGGATCAAGTTGGTGATCTCTCCCGGACGTTCGGAGGCCTCCTTCTTCGTCCAACTTGCAAAATGCTACTGTTTGCAGCCTCAAACCTGCTGTTTTCCGTTCCAACTCGGGGTCCAACCCCCTGCACCTCGCCGATTCATCGGTAGGCTGCATGTTTTTACTCTGAACAGCTGTTGAACTCGCACCACCTGCTGTCCCACTGCATATTTCGCTTCTACAGCCTTCCCAACACCTCCACCTGCTGCTCACAACCAGAAACTGACATTTTCTACTTCCGGTTCGCTGTCCCATTGCCCTTCACACCTGTTTTCTGCCGCCCCCAACCTCCCCACTCACATAATCAATCCTACAATTTGTACAACACGTTTTGCACCTTATCACAATGTCTAGGAACCCTAAAATGGTGTCAATGACCTGGCTTTAGTTGTGGCTGTTTGGTTGGGCATTTTCGTGGATTTTAGATATGCTAAATATTTGTAATGCATGCATTTTAGTAATGCAGAAAGTTATTTGGTTTGATGCCAATAATACATTGAGATGTTTATTTGTATGTATTAAAATACATTTCAAATGCAAGGCTATGCAAGGGGGTGAGGTCAGATGAAGAAGCAATATGGCTAGCGAGGGGACAACATAACGAGGAGAGAAGTGATTCATACGAGGCAATGTAGCGGCCAACATGAGATGGGGGTGAGACGGGTGAGCAAGGCTAGCAGGTGAGGGAGCCAAATGGGTGGACGAGGTGTCGAGTCATGAGGGATGAGATAGGTGTGCGAGAGGTGAGATGTTCTGGTGCAGGAAATCATTTTATTTCCAAATGTAAGGAAAATAGGGGTTTTGGTGTTTTGGAAATTCCTCAAAATTTTATTTTTTATTCATTTTTCTTCAAAATATACGACAGAAAAGGTGAAATGCAGGGAACTGCAATAAACTTCAAATTCCTCTGACCAAGTAACTTCTTAATTGAGGACCTTTTATGAAGAATTCCACTTTTATTTTGTTTGTATTCATTTGAGTTTGCTGCATTTATATATTCCTTCCTGTTGAGCAACACATTTGTTAATGTATGCGTGCCCGTAATCTGTGTAACTTTCCATTTATATACTGCCTAGGGGATTGATTTTTTAGCATATCCAAGCTGCTTGGTAAAAACATAGAAAATTCAGCTTTATTGTTTTACTTCTTTTATTTATTATTTACACATCTTTGAAATTTTGAGTTTGAAAGTTGCCTCAGATAGTTATTTTTTTCAACACTGCATTATTTCCTTTATCTTTTTAATAATTCTTTTACCAGTGTATGTGCTTAACTTGAATTTTGTCCTTTAATGTTGTTTTGGCATGAGCAGGTCTCTGTTGCTCCTGGTGGGCGCTGGAACAGATTTAAAACCTACTCTACAATTCAAAGAACCTTGGAGATTTGGGGGTTTGTTTTTGCATTTCTTTTCAAGGCATGGCTGAACAACCAAAAGTTCTCTTACCGAGGTAGGTAGGTTAGAAACTATGGAAGGACTGTCATTCATCATTTGCATCATATCAATTATTTTGGTTAACTTTATGAATCCTTCTTTTCTAATTTTTTTCTACCGAGCACTGCCCAAGGTTTTATTTCTACACTTATGCTATTGTTTTTTGCAATTACTATTGGTCTACACCTTTCCCTTCATGATAAATTGTCAACACCGCAAGTAGATTGGATTGATTTGAAGTTTCTGTTAACTTTACCATTTTCCTTTTTCAAGCAAGTTATACGATAATGAAGTTCTGAATGAAGTTTACATCCACTCCTCTAAAATCCCTTCGTTGCGACTGCTTAATGGGGTTCTGATTGATTAAGCGAACCTGTTTTGGTGTCTTGACACTTAAGAGAGTGATATGCAATGAACGTGCAGATCATTCATCACTATATATTTATAATCTCTTGATATCATTTTTATTTCCACTCCATAGTTTTTCTTTGAAGCTGTTTGTTTTTTTTGTTTTGTTATGTAGATATATTTTAAGCAAGTTAGGTGTTTAGGCTCCGAAGTAAATTTTCATTTTTTTATGTCCTTTTTTCTAACCATCAATTTTCATTAGGGTTCATGCTGTTATCTTCATGGTTGAGTTAATTTATTTTGTGATAGATTGTTTTCTATCGACTGAATTTTTCAGACCTTTGATCTGTATTCATTGTTTCATATGAAAAATAATTAAAAGGTTTGATGCCTTTTCTTGGGATAATATGGAGCGTGTTTGTGTTTTTCTTAAGATGTGGTTTCATGCTAGTAAATGAAGTACAATATAAGAAAATTATGTAAGTAGAAACATTGCAAGATAATAATCACTGTTGCAGTATTTCTGGTTCGACTACCATGCCATGATGATGACAGGAGAGGATGAATAATAAAAAATCTTGTGGTGTAAAGTGTAAACCATTGATTATTTTCAATTAATTATTGAAAAACTTGTCTTTGTGCCATTATGGTGGCCTGTATGATTGGTTTACTACTAACTTTCACCCAAATTTCATGGTCATCATGTTGAACATGCAGACTGTAATACGAGATTCATGCTTACCATAAACTTTTGAGCTCTTAAGCTAGTACCAAATCCTTCAATTTTACATATTGGCTGATAATGTTTGAATTTAAACTGCAATATATTCATATATGTTGCATCTGGTATACTCTGTTTGGTAGTTTGGTTCTCAAATGATCTTGGCTAGGCCTTGAAAAATTGATCTTAGCTACAGTATTTAAGCCAGGCAGTTAATCCTACCCATGACCCGAATATTGGAAATGTAATTGATTTTATTATTTCTACTTTTCAATTTTTCCAAAGTGTCCTTGAGTCATGTTTGGATGTAGATATAATTCTAGTATGAAAATACTTCTATAATATTATCCTAATTTGTTATTCTTTCTCCTAGTGCCTTCTTTCTTTCTATTTCCATCTTTCATATCGAAAAAATAATAGGAATGATGATAGCAATTAGAACACTAGCAAAAATAATATAAAATATTCGACTTAGTTTCCCACTTTTTTCTCCTCCTAAATTAAGGATTGTGATATAGGCAATGAAGCTAGAAATTAAAACCAACATTTCTTCTTATTCCTCTCTTCTTTCTCCTTATTGGGTGTTGAGTGTTTCTAAACTTTGCCGCCCTGCTTGAAATTTTTCTCGAATTTATACAAGCTCACAATTAGCTTCTATATCTATAGTTCCAGATTTGAGCTTGATGATATTGCCTCATGTAGTTTTTAGGGAAAAGAAAAAAGAATTATTCCTCGACAGTTTGCTGAGACCTAGTTACTAGATAATTTGCAGGGGAAGGCCACCACATTAGGAAAGCCACAAAATCAGCCACAAATTTTCCAAAAAAAAGGAAATATGAGTTACCAACAATTGATTGTTCTAAAAGTAAAACTACTAAAAATATAAAATAATAAAACTAAAAGACATCAAAAATAAAAATTCCTAACATTCTGACACCCTTTTCAAGTTAGAGCATAGATATCTATCATTCCCAACTTGCATACAAGGAACTGAAAACTAGGCCTAAAAAGTCATTTGGTGAAGATATTAGCTATTTGCTGCGTTGTCAGAATGAAAGACATGCAAATAACTATACAATCAATTTTCTCTTTTATGAAGTGTCTATCAATCTCACATGCCTTGTGCGATCATGTTGCATCGGATTTCTGTAACGTTTATGACAACTTTATTGTCACATTACAACTTCATTGACATGTTTATTGGGAATCTTAGTTCTTCAAGAATTCTCTTCAGTCATAACATCTCACATCCATTAGCCATAGCACGCAATATTCTGTCTCGACACTACCCATTGCTACCATTTCTTACTTCGCCACGTGACAAGATTTCTCCTGACATAAGTACAATATCATGATTTAAATCTCCCAACTACTGAGCTTTCCTAATCCACATCAGTGCATGACTCTATGTTATGTTGCGTGGTCTTCTGAATGAGTAAGCTCTTGCCGGTGTATGTTCTAGGTATCTGAAAATCCTATTATCTACTTCAAGGTGTTTCTAATGGGGCAAATGCATAAATTAATTTACAAAATTTACAACAAAGGCGTTATATGACAGTGTATGTGATAAATAAATCAAAATTTCCACCAATTTTTTATATGAGCTAAATTCACTCTGTCACCTTCTCATCTCCCAGTTTATGATTGGGATCAGTGTTTGCAGGCCTACAACCACTTATCTTAGTTTACTTTAGAAGATCAAGAACATACTTCCTTTGGAAAACAACAATCCATTCTTTGATCTAGCAATCTCTATGCCAAGAAAACACCTCAATGATCGTAAGTCCTTGGTCCTAAAAAATGATGAGAGGGAAGTCTTCAATCACTTCATTTCATATACGTCATTTACGATAAGAATTATATCTTCCCATTCTTTGAATGTCTGAGAATATTCTAAGATCTCCTTGCCCTTGAGTATACCCTTGACCTTTAACAATGCAAATTTCTCAAACCACGCTCTTGGTGACTGCTTGAACCAGTTTACACATCTCTGTGTCGAACTTCTCACTAAATCCTGGAGGTGCATCATATACACTTCTTCCTCTAAGTCTCAATTAAAAAATGCATTTTTTTATATCTAACTGTTGTAGGGGCCAATCAAGATTAGTTGCAAGTGACAAAAACTTTTATAATGTTTAGTTATGCTACAGGGGCGAATGTCTTTAAGTAATCAATGCCATATGCATGAGTGAATCATTTGATAACTATTCGAGCCTTGTACCGTTCTAGAGAACAAGTAGAAGTATACTGGACTGTAAACACTCATTTGCACCTAACTCTTTTTTTTTTCTCTTTTGGTAGATCAACTAATTCTCACGTGCTATTTTTTAGAGCTTTAATCTCCTCGAAGGCAACCTCCTTCCACCCAGGTACTTTCAGAGCATCCTGTAAGTATTAAGAATCTCCATATAAGATAAATGTGAGGTAAAAACTCAAGAAACGGGTGAGATTTTTATGACACATACTGAGATAATAATGTGCAAGAAAAGATAAAATATAAGAAGTTATGTTATAAAAATTGGTTTAAATGTAAAAGCTTAGAGAACTGAAGAAAATATCAAACGGCCCGCAGGGAGTCTAATAGAACAATCTGTGACG